TTGGCCACATGATAATTCAGTTTATTTCCTTTTGTTTTCCCTGAATGATGAGAAATGAATTATGCACATAAGTTCAGTGTGTAAAGAAAGGGTTACATTTTCCAGAATAGCTTTACCGAGGGAGACCGTCCTGATGGAGAGTAGAGCTAGCTGGCTTCTGGCAGCTTCTCAGGCCTTGCATTAGAACCAGAATCTGGAAAATGAGCCATGTCTTCCAACAGCTCCCACGGAATACTCCAAGGGCAATTCCATTACCCCAGAAAGGAATCCTGCACCCCTTCGCTGCTGTTAGTCAGCTTTCATTGCTGTGGCATACCTGAAAAAAAACAGCCTCAAGAAGGAAAGGTTTATTAGCTAAAAAATTGTTTTACATTTATATATTTTGTGTGTGTGCTCAGGGGTCAAGCAGCAAGCTCCTTTATCTACTGAACCATCTTGCTGGTCCTTTACTTATTAATTTTAGAGTTACATGGTTTCCATCATGGAAATTCAGTCTGTGGTCAGCTTACCTTCAGACATGTGACACCAACACTCTTAGTTTTCTATTGTTGCGTGAAAACACTGAGACCAAGAACACCTGGGAGAGGAAAGGGTTTACTTCCTTTATGCTTCTACAGCATAGTCCATCATCCAAGGAAGTCAAGGGAGGAAGTGAGGGTGGGAGCTGGGGCAGAAGCCGTGGAGGTGTACTACTCACTGGCTTGCTCCTGCTTTCTTATACCATCCAGGTCCACCAGCCTAGGGATGACATTTCCCACAGTGAGCAGGGCCCTTCCTTATCAACCATTAATCTAGAAAATGTACCACAAGCTTCCCCACACAACAGTCTGGTGGGGACATTTCCTAGAGGAGGTTTCCTCTTCCAAAATGACAGGTACTGTGTGTACCAAGAAAGAAGCAAAAGAGGGCCCAATCTCCTAACACTCAGTCAAACCGAGACTCCCTCCAAAAGCTCTAAACTAGGCAAGTTAGTAAGCGCAAATAATAGATCACTCTGCATAGACGCAAACCCACTGAGTTGGTTGGTCTCAGAAGATCAGCAGAGGACTACTCTGCACTGAGGAGAGGTGCATTAACTATCTCCTGGAATGTGATGAGAGTCCAGTAGGCCAGTCATGTTGTTGTCACTTGAGAATACCCAGGTCCTGTTAATTGTCCCCAAATTAATGGCCTGATTACAGCAGAAGCCAGGAGATTGTGTGGCTAGAACACTCTGCTGCTTTGGGGAGGGTAATTTATGTCTTACTGGCTACAATTGGATGGCTCTTACCTGGGAGGAACTCTTTATTCCAAATGATCCCAGCCAGCTATACAATGGCATCATTCTCTTTGGCATTGCCAGCTGAGAGTCCACAGCAGTACAGATCAGACCTCCACACTTAGCACATGGAAAGGGGCTCATAGCATTGTTTTTTAAAGAGACAGAAGTTCAGGACTTTTGCCATCAAAATAATCACATATTTTAAAAATATGAAGCCAGCCTGGACTATATTGCAAGACCTTAGAGAAAACCAATCTGAAATCCAGCCACACCAGCAAACGCCCTTCCTCCTGGATTATCATAAGGGCAGTCTAGCTAAGGCACATGGTGCTAGTGTAAAGCCATGGGGCTGCCTGCCAGCTTTCCTTCTCACCGCTTGCTGACAGGAGCCACGCTTTTCCTGGTGTTCTGTCGGCTTCAGTAATATAGAGGGCTCGGGGGGGGGGGGGGTGTCTGAACCCACAAGGTTCTGTAGGACTTCCTCTGGAGTTTCTGCTTTCCAACTCAGTGGTGAGGTCTAGAGACTTGTGACACTGCCTTCAGGCCTTTCCTCTAGTGCTCTGCTCTGATGCTGGGCTTTGAGGAAAAGAGTTAACAGGTGAGTAGTAAAATCAGCCAGGGATTGGATTGTACTTTTCATTCTTACAGACTTCAGCTAAATCTAAGAAACCCCAAAGGAGCAGCAGCCCCAAACCCTCCACAGGGACTCCTCAGCTTGAGCTTCCTCGAATTCCTACAAGGTGCCTGACCTATGCATGGCCCTGGGAAGCAGTTAATGTGTGTGCCCCTCCCTATAAACAGACGACAGACACTAAGGAAAATGTAAATCTCTGCCAAAGAATCTTACTGCAGATGATTTGCGTGCTAGTGGTTCTGCCAGTTTTGATATGAGAGGTGTAGACTTGAGCCAACTCTGTATATTGCTGTGTGAAGAAAGGTCGCTAGTGCTCCCAAACATGGTCCTGTTCTTGCTGGTCCAGTTTTGGAATTAATTTCCCCAATCTGTCACTTCAAGCATACTATTGAGTTTTTTGTTGTGAGGGGAAATTTGTTTGTTTAACAGTGCTGTCAAATCTAGGACTTGGGTCAATTAAAAATCCAACACTTTCACTGTGAGTAAGCTTTTCGATTCCCTGTGGGTGAGACAGAGTGAGTAAGCTGGCAGGGTGTGGTGGCTCACGCCCTTAATCCTAGCACAGGCAGGTGGATCTCTTGAGTTCCAGGTCAGCTGTGTGTACATAGCAAGTTTCAGGCTAGCCAAGGCTACACTCAAATAGAAAAGGGGAAAGCATGGATCCTGCACACACTGAGCTCCAGGACAACAGGGAAGGTAGACACTTCTCCCCAACTGAGCAGTAGTAGAAATTGGAGTGTGCATGCAGCTACAGGGTTTGTGGCCCTGTTCTGTGAGGTCAAGCACAGCAGCTGGTGTGCAGAGCAAATGGTCATAGTTTTGCCTATTGTTACCCTTTTTGCTGATTTCTTTCTCATCATAGTCAAAGATCAGATCTTGTTGACTTTTTACATTCCTAATCCCGAGCACAGTGAAGCTGCTGTCTCTGTTGAGTGATTGTCAAGTGGATGAAAAGATGATTCTAAGTACCTTTTCAACCCAAAACTCTTCTGAGGGTACCTGGTTATTGAAATTGGTGTTAAAGATTGCAGGGAATGACGGTCTTGTGCCTTCTCACAACCCTACTGACAAGTTCTACCAACCTCTTTGTTAGGGGCCTCCTCTTCAGGTCCTTTCCAGGCTTCTTACAAAGAGACAGATAGCCCAGGGCTTCACAGAGGATTTGGAGCAGCAGACTCTTTCTACAGAGAGCAGTGACTCAGTCCTGCTGATGGCACAGAGCAGAGTAGAAAATGGAGCATGTATATCTTTAATAGTTGTAGTTGGTTGCAGTGAACTTTGTCATGATTACAGAAGGTCAGTACTGCTGCACACAAAGGACCAGGGTCCCTTACATAGATGCATGCAGTGCATTTAGTCTAATTTAGAATTATCTTAAGCATAATAAAATTGCTCACAAAAAAACTCTCAAACAACTTCTCATCTTGGAGATATTCAAGTTCTTAGGTCTCACTTTGTCCTGAGTCTATATTTTCTGCTGGTTTGACCTTTTTTGTGTTTTTGTTTAACCTCTCTGAACTTTGCTTATTTATCCAGCTAACACAAGGACAGTGATGCCTGCTTAGCCATTCAGAATTGATCTTAATAGTTAATGAGTCCAGTGTATTAGGGGGTATGACCAAGACAGGGACACTAACATTCTCTGGACCAGTATCACTAGAGTGAGAATGTACTACTCCCAAGTCTTATGTCTGGTGTGGGCACTGACCTGTTGGCCTAGGGCACAAGTAGCCCATGGCCCATGGTTTCATGATGGATTAGAATGATACCAGGTCAGCTCAGAAACATTCCCCTCAGCACTAAGCTGAGAGGGCCACTTCTACACTAACTATACTTGGAGTAACTCGCACTAGCTACAGCAGGCCAAACTCAAGTCAGATGGGCAGAGGCTGAGAAAGCACTGCAAAAGTAAGCATGGCATTGCTAGAGAGCACTGCATGAGTGTCTCAGCTCTTGCCTATCTGTGTGAAGCAGAAAGGAACGTCTGGTTTCTTCCAACAGAGAACTCATTGTACTTTCATAAAACCAAAACCAGGCTGGGAAGATGGCTTGGTGGGCAATGGCCCTTGGCACTCAACAGCACAAGCCTATAAGTCTAGTGATGATTGCCAGATAGAGGGAGAGACACAAGGCCACAAAGTTGCCCTCTGGTCTGCACATTCCTGCCCCCAACCCACAAAAGATGGGCTGTTTGTTTGTTTGTTTACCCCATGTTTTTTCTGTGGTTTCTTCCCCTCATATCACCTGCTATAAACTCTAGCCGCCTTCTCTTTCTCTTATCTCATTCATGTAACTTTGACTGGAAATATTTTGACCTGCCAAAACTTGAATTTAGCATTTGGGGTTTCTCCCACAGCCCATGATAGATAGGATCACCAGCAAGTAGAGCACAGGCTGTACAGTCTCTGCTTTCGGGATGTTCTCCACCTCCTGGGAAAAACCAGGCCCAGCTTACAGGAGTTGAAAGGCAGTTGCCTTTAAAAGGTCCTTTTACAGTGCTGAGACTCTTTGCTCATATGTACTGGGAACTGTTTCTTACTCTGTGGAAGAGTCCCCTGGGGCTTCAAAGCACAAATGAGGAAAGTGATTCACAGTGACCAACAGTTAACTGCACCTTGACCCTATGCCGGATGCTGTTTTGATGGTTTGCATGGACAATTCCTCACCATCCATGAGTAAGCATTCAGTGTAGATTGAGAAACCAAGGCACATGAACTTGAACAGCTAGCCTTGAGTCATTGGGGCAGAGCTGGAATTTAAGCCTATGTGTGTGTGTGATTTCAAAGCCTTGCCTGAACCCTACCGATCTCCTCCCTGTGCAAGCAGAGACCTGCCACACAGCGCAAGGAGGTCTAAAGGGGTGAGGGCTTCCTGTCAGCTGTGCAGCTCAGCAGTCATCTATGTTAGGCAGGAAAGGCATATTAGGATAGTGCCCTGCCTGTAGTTGCTACACAGCAAAGACAAGGCCCTAGGTACAAGCATGGTTTTTCTAGTGAGACAAATGGCTTCAATTCGGGATCCTCATGTACACATCATCAACAACAGCAACAACAAAACACTGTTGATGCAGAAATCAGAGTTCTCATGTTTATTTTTCTTCCATAGGATAAAAAGAACAAGTGGTATGAGCAGCCTTTTAGGGAAAATTGGAGCCAAAAAACAGAAAATGAGCACCCTTGAGAAATCCAAATTGGACTGGGAGAGCTTCAAGGAGGAAGAAGGGATTGGTGAAGAACTGGCTATCCATAACCGAGGGAAAGAAGGGTAAGAAGCAACTCTGTCCTCTGTAGCCTGAGAGCTCTGCAGCAGCTTGTTCACACTGGTTAAGCAAATAGTGTGCGCTTCAGTCACCGGTAAAGCTCTGTTCTAAGAGGAGGCAGATCCCATCCGTGAGCAGCAGTGTTCCAGGACTGTTAGTGAAGTACAGCTTCGGTGAACTGTAAGTAGCCTGGTTTATTCACAAGACAGAGTCTGGCTCACAGTGACGGGCTTGCCCTAATCTGAATCACTTGGCCTTCAGATAATCTGGGCTAGTTCAAGTGCCAGGACACTGTCACTTTATCATGAGTGGTTTGGTGCTAGTTTGTTCCACTGTGTTACTGTGGTCCTGGGCATGGTAGGACCGTTTACTGCAGCCTGTGTGACATGTAAGAGGCCATTGCTGTACCATTTCCCATCCACTTTGGAACACAAAGAGGATATTTCATAAGCCAAAAATGATCTTTTCCTTGTTAGTGTTTATTTTGTTTTGTTTTCCCTATGGGATTGTTGAGAAAAGATCTTACTCTATAACCTAGTCCAGCCTCACAATCATGGCAGTCCTCCTGTCTCAGTCCTCCATGTTCTGGAATCACAGGCAAGAGCCACCACATTCAGCTCTCATTTGTGGGGTATTTTGTTTGTTTTGTTTTGGGTGAGTATAAAAAAACGGGGTTCATTAAGTGTTTAGGGAGTGCAAAAGAAACATAAGCAACAGAAGCCCATGGCTGCAGGTCAGCATTTCTCACCCCTGAGGTAGGCCTCTCATCAACCCTGCCCCTCACCAGTAAGATCTTCCCTTTGACCATAGTAGTTACCTCAGCTCCTTTGCCAGTGACATTGGGATAATCTTACACCTTCACTCCAGATGTGCAGATATTATGAGATAATGCATTATGTATGTGTGACTTACAGGGATATGATGTGCACAAAGCACTTTGAAGAACACCAGTCACTCACAAGAAGGCCTACATAATAAGTACCTGTCATTCAAGTTGTTAATTATGCTGGGCGGTGGTGGCACACGCCTTTAATCCCAGCACTTGGGAGTCAGAGGCAGGCGGATTTCTGAGTTCGAGGGCGGCCTGGTCTACAGAGTGAGTTCCAGGACAGCAAGGGCTACACAGAGAAACCCTGTCACCCTGTCTCAAAAAACCAAAAAAAGAAATAGGTGGAGAGAGCTAATTTAGGGGTCATATTTCTTTTTCTTGAGGTGGAGTTTCACTATGTAACCCCACCCAAGCTAGCCCATACAATCCCCTGCCTCAACCTCCCTAGTACTGAGTGAGATTACAGGCATGCATATCACACACCCAGCTCTTATTCTTCAAAATAAGACCTTAACATTATCTGAACCAACCTGGGAACATTTTGTTTTCTCATGATGGGTTTCAGGCCAGTCCTTATGTAGTGGGTCCCAGAAATTGGACTTAGGTCATTAGGCTTGGCAGCAAGCATCTTTACACAGTGAGCCATCTCACTGGCCCTGGAAGTATTTAGTTCTAAATATGTCTTAATATTATCTAAATCAACCTGGATGCTATCTAACACATCTTACTTTAAAAAAAAAAATTATGAGGTTGCTTAACTCCTAGATCCAGGTCAGACTATTTAAGCTCTTCAATTTTGCACAGGGATCTAAAATAGCAGAAGGGCCAGAGTGTGCTACACTGGCTTGCCTCTCTTGGGTATTGATTATGTGGGTTGAAAATGTTCACTGTGTTCAAGCAGATAGAGGTCTGTTAGAGATGAGGGAGCGTTTACAGTTGGAAGAGAAAAGAAGATTTAAAATGAGATCTTAAAAAAAAAAAAAGATTTAAAAGACACACGGGCTGGAAAGATGGCTCAATAGTTAACAACACTGGCTGTTCTTCTAGAACAGTTGAAACCTAGTTAAATTCCCAGCTCCTACAACAGTCAGTAACTCCAATCTCAGGGGATCTGATGCCCTTTCTGGCCTCCACTGGCACCCGGCACACACATGGTGCACAGATAATGCTATGCCCAATTCACTAGACCCCCAAGAAGACCACCAAGGACTCAGGATCCCATGCAACACAAGAGGGTTTATCTGAGAGTTGGAGCTCGGACCACGATCAGCCCTGACACAGCATGGTGGGAGAGTGGTGGCAAGGCTCAGGCTCAGGGCATCAGGGTTTATAAAGGAAAAAACTGCAAGGGGAAGAGTTGGGGGAGGTGTCTGTGATTGAGAAAGTGTATGGGGGAGTGGGCCAAACCATAAGGGGTGTTTCTAAATTTAAAAAGAGAATCGGGCTGGGCAGTAGTGGTGCATGCCTTTAATCCCAGCACTTGGGAGGCAGAGGTAGGCGGATTTCTGTGTTCGATACCAGCCTGGTCTACAGAGTGAGTTCCAGGACAGCTCAGGCTATACAGAGAAACCCTGTCTCGAAAAACCAAAAAAAAAAAAAAAAAAAAAGGAGAGACTCGGGTATTGATATTCTGGCTGATTGATCTGCTACAAGTATGGGTGCAGTTGATTCAATTGGGAACGTACATCTTGTGGTTGTTCTTTGAACTGGGACATCCCGATACCTGGGGGGGGGGGGGGCCGGAAGACTGGAGGGCCATGACAACCACCAACTTTCTCTTTCATTGTTCTTTGAACTGGGATTTCCCTGTACCTGGGAGGGTGAGGAACTGGAGGGCTGAGACAACCACCAGTTTCCTCTTTTAATACACATTTAAGCAAAACACATAGAATAATAATAAAAAAATTAAAGTGGTCTACTTAGTGAGGATGTTTCTGGAAACTGAGCTGGGTGTAGCTCATGTGGCAGAGCGCTTGCTTATTCGCATGAAGCACTGGATTCAATCCCTAGCACCACATAAACTAGACTTGGTAGTGCCTGTAATCCCAACACTTGGAGGTGGAAGCAGAAGAATCAGAAGTTCAAGACCATCCTTGGTTACTTAGGGAGTTCTAGGCTAACCTGGGAACAGCAAGAAAAATAGCACATAATAAGATGGATAGGTTTAGGGGTTCTGTTTTATTTTTAATTATCTGTATGTGTGCTTGTGTGTTTATGTGCATGTTTTAAATCCTCTGGAACTGGAATTACAAGCAGTTGTAAGCCACTCAGTGTAGGTAGGAACAGAATTTGGGTCCTCAACAGTAGCAATACTGGCTGAGCCATCACTCCAGCACTTAGGATGGTAGCTTTAGACTATGTTTATCAGATTATTCACATTTTTATTTAATGTGAATAAACTAAATGTTCCAGTTAAAAGTCAGAAATTAACAGATTAAATCTTTGAACATGCTGTTTTAAAAAGATTGATGTGAAATGTGGAATGAAGAAATATTGAAAATGCAAAGGTTAGAGAAAAGGTGAATTATGCAAGTACTAACCAAAAGAAAACTGATACAATGACATTCATGTTAGACAAAGTAGATTTAAACAAAAACGTTACCAGTTATTAAAAAGACAATCTCTTCATGTGATAAACATCTGAGAGGTAGATGGTTAAACTGGAAAGCACCACTTACTATGATCAGTTCAGGATTCTTAAAGTTAGTCATGTCTGTAATAATGATAATGTTCATAATTCAGTTCCCTTTTAACTTTATTCCCTGGAGAACTGCAGGTATATACTGACAATATAAACATCATCTAAAACAAGAAACAACTCAGAGGTCTGTCAGTAGTTTTACAGTTAAATCAAATATCATCTGTCTACACCATGGGCATGGGCTACTGCCTAGCAGTGGGAATGGACAAAGATAAATCACAGAAGCATCCACACAGAGTAGGAGGTAGACTGTGATGCTACTTAAATGAAGGTCAAAGCAGGCAAAACCAGTAGATCAGTTTTGAAAGAAGCAGATCACAAAAGAATACACAGAAGTGAAGTCTATTTATGTCAGAATCAAAAATAGCAATAGCAACAACTAGAGGTTAATGGAGATACAAAAAAAAAAAAAAAAGATACAAGTAGGACCAGAGCTGCTTCTGTGATTTAAAGTGCCTGCTGCTCTTCCCGAAGACTGAAGTGTAGTTTCTAGCATACACACTGGGCTGATTATAGCTGCCCACAAGGCCACACCTATTCCAACAAGTCCACACCTCCTAATAGTGCCACTCCCTGTGGCCAACTGTTCAAGCACAATGAGTCCGTGGGGATCATACCTATTCAAACCACCGGGGGGGGGGGGGGGGGGGGGGGGGGGGGGGTTAATCCTCACGCTCTCATTCAGTTCCTGCCTCGGGGTTCCTGCCCTGGCTTACTCCATAGAGAACTAGCACTTGTGAAACAAATAAACCTGCTGTTGTGCTTTCTCTGTTGGTGGTGGTCAGTGTTAGCTCACAGCAACCGGGAGCTCATGAGGACAGACACTGGCCCCAGCTTAGTCATCATACAGTGGAAACCTTTCTTTCCCTATGCCTCTCAGGTTCTTAGGGGAATGGAGCAAAGAGGCAAAATGCCTACCTCCTCCCAGGCCTCTGCTTATAATTCTTTTCTCCCACTTGCCTTTAGCTGATCATCCCCAGACTCAGACCTTACTGGAAAGGCTGACGCTGTATTCGTTTCAGTCCTAGCCAGCTGTTTAGGAATATTTTCCACGGTGATGTGAAGTAGAGTTCGGAGGCATCCCCCCAAGTCTCCCAGGTGCCTTCTCACTTTCCCCAGCCCTCCAACCTGGGCGTGGGGCCCTGGGCAGCTGGGTTCCTCTTCCTCTCCAAGCAAACACTGGTTCTAAGACTTACCCACCATTTTCTGCCAGTGATTCAAAAGAAAAGGGCCTTTCCTACCCACCTCTGTCTGCTTCTCCAGCTGCTTGCTGCAATCCAGCCTTAGTGCCCCTCTCTCTGTAGTGTACCTCCCCTAAGAAGGCTAAGGCCTCGTCTCAGGCCACTCTGGAAGAGCTCTACTCCCTCAGTCATATCCCCACTGTTAGGTTTTATTACTGTGCAGTAAGCCCCCGGAGCAGATACCACACCACTACAGTGTCCAGATGCCAGATGCACTAGCTAGCAGATGCCCCTGGCTTTATTCTGCATCCTGACAGTATTGGAAAAGTCCAGCATGACAGATGAGAATAGGTTTTTGTACAGCACTTTTAGTCAGCAGGGTGAAGTGCTATCCCAGAGACAGTCAGGCTGTTAGCTGACTTTGTTCAGGTGTTGAGCGTGGCTTCCTCCAGCTCTGCTAACTAACCACATGGATAGCTTTCCAAATAGTAGTGCCAAGGCAGAGGCCCCACGTGGAGGGGAGGAGATCCATATATAAAATGCACAGGGACGAGAAACACAGGCTTGGCTCACAGTCTTGGCTGCTGCTCTCTGTCTAGTTAAACTGAAAGTCAGACCTCAGTGATTTAGAAATCAAGTATTTGGTCATTTGGACAACGTGAAGGAGAGACTGCTAAAATACTTCTCACTCTCTGAAGAATCTATCAGGAGTCTGTCTCCCAGAACCATCTCAGCCTTGAGGTGATATGAGATATGTTGGCTTCGAGGCCAAGCCTGGGCCTTTCAGTTTGCATTCCCAGAGTGGAGGAATCCTGCCTTGTCGGGGCTACTCCAGGACGTGCTGGTCTTAGCACTTCTGTTGCCTGCCAAGAGCTGACGTTGATCGATACTGAGCACCAAATATACGCAGGGAGCCAGTACTACAGCCCGAGTAACAGAGTGCCAGCCCTGACACTGACCAGGCAAGGGTCTCTGACAAGAAGTGCTGACGTCTTCCCTGATAGTGCTCTTGCTCTTCCTACCCAGTGTCCTGAATCTCAGGGAAGACTGAAAAGAGGTCATTAGCATATTTTGTTAATTACAATAAAGATTTGCTTGCTTTGCCAGGTGTGGTATCCCACACCTTTAATCCCAGAACTAGAGAAGCAGAGGTAGGCTTGATCTTCATGAGTTCGAGGCTAACCTGGTCTACATAGGGAGTTCCTGGACAGCCAGAGCTATACAGAGAAAGCCTCTCTTTGAAGACAGACAGACAGACAGCAGAGAGATGGTTCAGCAGTTACGAGCACTGGCTGCTCTTCCAGAGGCCCTTAGTTCAACTCCCAGCACCCACATGGTGGCTCATAACCAGTGGGATCTGATGCCCTGTTCTGTCATGCAGACATACCTTCAAATGGAGTACTCATATGTATAAACAAATAAACCTTAAAATTTATTAAATAAATCAATAAAATAAAAAATCTGCTGCTACTTAAATGGGCCATAAAAGCATAGTGGCAGGAGAGGATGGCACACCCCTTCAGCCCTAGGTTTCCTTGTGGGTCAGTCTGATTGAGGGTTGGGCATGGGCCAGAAGAACAGCAAAACCATAATTCCCATTGCGCTTGTCAGCCAGCGGGTCTGTTCTGGAACTGTGACCCAATTAAAGTTCCTGGAAACCCCTGTGGCCCAGTTGAAGTAGGTGAATCCTCAGGTGGCCTTCAAGGCAGCCTTTCCTTGGGAGCATTTCCGGCTCCCAAGACATGGCTGTCTTCCACAAAGCACTTCTCAGTTCCATTGCATCCACAGAAGAGCATTTACGTTTTTATTTCTGCAGGAAATAAAAAACAAACACAAAGGGTCAAAAATTAATACCTCGCCCAAAAACACCGATAATAGATATCAAAGTCGCTCTTCGTCCCCAGCACCTTGTCTGCTTCTGTACTTCATTCACCAAGTCCATGTCCAATGGAAGGTTTGTCTATAGTCACTTCCTGGATATAAACCAAGCTGTCAGAGGATCCTCGTAGCATGCCAGTGGCTGTCTTGATCTTCAGTGGACTTCCTGAGAACTGAGTTGCATCTGTGATTGTAACTTGTTGCTGCTGCTCCTTCGCATCTATTCTGGACTTTGCTCTTGGTAGACTCCAGGTCCTGTGGACACACACAAGCCCTTATCAGTAATTGGCAAACACCCCAATGTAAGGATCTCTTCTCCATCCTGGGCTCCCAGCAGATATCCTGAGAGCTCTGTCCTCAAACACCCACGGGTGATGCTTACATAGCACCATCTCTCCCCTGTGTTTGCCTCTCTTCTGGCTCTTCCATGGGGCAGTTGGCACACCTGCCACCAAGTCCCCGATTCCCATGTCTCCACATCCAGGTTAGGCAGGGTGAGGGTCAAGTGATTACAGTCGGTGGGTCCCTCAGTTAATTTTCTAAGCCATGCCTGAGGGCCTCAGGCTGCCCTAATGAATTCTTTGAGTGTCCACACCTTCTCACCCAGATCCCCATTCTATGCCTTTATCTGAAGGAGCACACAGTATCTGCCACTGCTCTCTCTGCCAGGCAATCTGAATTTCAGATTTAACTGGGTCTCCTTTATTTTCACTGACTAAATATGACAACTCTGACCCAAGAGACTTGTGTCAAACCTAAGTACAGCATTATTGTGTGTTCTAGCTATTCTGGCCTCATTGACAGTTCTGACACCACAGCCTAATTCCTGATCCAGACCAGATGGTAGTTACTAGTTTCAGACAGCACACATCCCAACTTGGGCCATCTGCTGTTCTCAGGACCCTGATGGAAGCCTAAAATCATAGTGACAGTCTTAGCTACCACTTTGTTGAGCTTGCATTCCATGCTAAGCATTATTAATACATATTTCATTTACTCCTCACAGCAGACCCTCTAAGTAAGAAGGGTTATCTTTCTTCAGATTTCTGGGTTTGGGTGTTTTGTGCTGTTTCGTGCATGTACAAAAAGCCTTGGCATCATATTAGACAGGCACAGGGGTTCATACCTTAGCCACTAGGAAGGTAAAGACAGAAGCTTGTGGCCTGAGGCACATGCAACCCTGTCTCAAAAAATAAAAAATAAAAATACAGGAGTGGTCTCTAGCCCAGGCTGGTCCAGAACTCACATTGTTCTTATCTGTGCCTCAACAGTACTGGGGTGTGTGTGTGTTTGTGTGTGTGTGTGTGTGTGAGAGAGAGAGAGAGAGAGAGAGAGAGAGAGAGAGAGAGAGAGAGAGAATGAATACATGTATATATGTGTATATATATATATATATATATGCAAATCCTATACATATATATATATATATATATATCTTTGTTGTTGTCCACTCCCTTTTTTATATTGTTAGGAAACTGAGAACAGCTAAGTTTATACTGCACAGATAGTGAGTGACAAGATTCAGATTCAGCTCCAGCTCCTCTGGCCTGAGACCTGTTTTCTGACTGGTCCTTGTGTGGAGGATTAGTAGCTACAGGCTCAGCTGGCAGGCAGATGGGATGGACCGCACTTGCTTCAGGGTGTTGAAGGGCAGGCAAACGGCCTCAGCTCAGTGAGGAACACAGGTTCCTGGAGCTGGTTACATTCTCACCGTGAATGTGATAACCTTGTAGTGACAGATGCACATTTTCCATGGTGCAACAAAGAAAAATTAGTGCAGAGAATGAATTATGTCTCTCATTTTTAATGACAATTTTGCTCCCTCGGTAGATTAATTAGCAGCAGAGAGTTCCTCCCCGAAAGCAGATTGCAGCACACTGTATGGTGTGGAAAGGTACATTAAAATGCAGCTGTGTCTCAGTAAGCAGCCAGGTTCCCTTCTGACCAGCGTGCCTGCCAGCATAGGCCGCCTCCCTCCCACCCTGTCTGGGAAGACTGAGGGAGACCTTGGCCTCAGAGCCAGAACAAAACCAGAGCACAACCAGAGCTCCCACTTCCAAGCAAACCCTCTGAGTGGCATAGTGCAGAGGTGTTTGATCTTGTTGCTTAGAGGAATTCAGGAAAGGGCCTCTTCTTTTTATCCCACAGAAGCAGCCTGGCCACAGACTGAGTAGATACCTAGGGAGAAAGCAGAAGAAACGGACTAGCCCTGCAAACCTTGGCTGCCTCCACTCTCAGAGCAGCCCTTGGTGGTCCTGGAACTCACTCAGTAGACCAGGCTGCCCTCGAACTCCCAGAGCTCGGCCTGCCTCTTCCTTGTGGGTGCTGGGATTACAGGTGCACACCACCATATCCGGCTCGGTTTTCTATCCAACTTCTTCCGTTTCAGGGGTAGATGTGTGTGTGTGTGTGTGTGTGTGTGTGTGTGTGTGTGTGTGTGTGTGTGTGTGTGTTGAGATACAGAAAAACATAGACACACCTGCTGCAAAGCACGACAGCCTGTGCTGTCAGTTCCCAGGACCTACATGGTGGAAGGAAAGAAGCAATCCCTCCTTGTAAGATAGGTGTCCTCTGACCTCCACACGTGTCCACCCACACATACACATAAATATACAAACACAAAATACATCTTTTTTAAAAGAATATGTTCTTTCACCTGCCAACTCAGTGTACCACTGAGTCCAGAAAATACAAAGTCATCCTGTTGCTGTGAGCTACAGTGAGGCTCAGATTCAGACTTTGACCAGAATTGCCCAGGTGATGTTTACTAAAACAGGGTGTGAATTAGGATGGCATTATTTCTCCTTTCCTCAAGTCCTGTGACAACATTGGATCCTTCCTCTCTCTTACTTTCTCCTTTTAAGAAGATGCCATCTCTCCTGGTATGCAAGCGCATACCTTTATCCCCGCACTGGAGAGGCAGAGGCAGGCAGATCTCCTGAATTTGAGACCTGCCTGGTCTACAGAGTGAGACCCTGTTTCAAAACAAACAAAACTCAACCTTTTCCAGTTTAATTTCATTCATGTCCTTCTGTGGACAAAACGGAAGTGGTTTGGATGGAGTGAGAGTCCAAAATTGTCACCTGGACACTTGCCAAAACCTGACTTACCCCTGGGGTAAGAGCCATGCAGGGGGGCCTCTCCTGCCAGATTGTACTGACACTGTTTTTGTCTCTCTCCAGGTACATTGAACGGAAAGCTTTTCTGGATCGAGTGGACCACAGGCAGTTTGAAATTGAGCGAGATCTCAGGCTGAGCAAAATGAAACCTTGACATTCTGGGGATAATCCATCGCAGCCTAATCCTGTTGACAATGTGAGCTCTTCTGTGTGTCTGTGAAATATTTCCAGTGTTCTTCATCATGTTTCCAGCAAGTCCCTTTTTCTACGTTGCAGTTTGTTTAATGTATCTTAATCTCACTTGGTTTCATTCATTTTCCTTTTTAAAATTTGTCTTTAAATAAACAAACAGAACCCTCTGTGAGATTGGTAAAAGTGTGGATGCCACGTTCCTTCCGTTTGCTCTGCTTCAAAGGCTGAAGGCTGGCCAGGCCCAGCTGCCACATCTCCAACCTGTCCGTGATGGTCACGGCCTCTCTAAAATCAGCCTAGTCTCTGGGCATTTGTTCTCAGTGCATTCAGCTTTTCTCTAGTATGAGATTCTCATACATAAGGTGGGGGGCATTGGGATAAATTAATGCTGAGTGGCTTTTTGTTTTTTCTTATTCCCCTTTCTCCTTTTTTTTTTTTTAAAGCCTACTTCGGATGTATTTTCTGCCTCTACTGTAGTTCTTTGGGTTTTTGTCAAGGGATATTCTTGCCAGTAATGCTGTACACACCTAGAATCCCAGTGCTTGGAAAACTGACAAAAAACTGTTGCAAATCTGAGGGCAGCCTGGGCTACATAGCTCCAGACCAGCCTAGGCATTGAGAGAGAGAAATGGAGATTCTGTCACCTGTTCCAAGGGCATGGGAAATGAGGGGAAGTGGGCTGCAAAGACTGCATTCCGTTTCCTGCTCACACACACCTCAGTGGCCTTACCTCAGTTTGGTTTTCTGGCCTGTGGATGGCAGGAGTCACGTTGGTCTTTCAGAGGGCTGAAGTGAGCTGCTGATGCCAGCCTAAGGCCAGAGAACACTGGGTCACAGTGGGCTTCCCAACTAGGCCTTGGATGTGGGGACAGTATTTGTAGCAAACAAAACTGAATTGGTGGCACCATCTCATTACCCAAAAAGGAAGCTTACAAGCTACATTTGAACTCACAGTCTGTTCACATCCATCTACAAGGGACTGTACAGGTGACACAGAGCATACCAAGATGGCATCACGACAGATGGGCTCTACTGAGACTTGGATGATGAAGTCCTTTAACGAGAACCAGCCAGCACCCCATTAGGATAGGACCTCTGTGCCTGTAAGACAGAGGCCCACCTGTGGTCTGCCTGGCATGTCACCCACTGCACTGGCTTGATATTTCTCTTGTGAGCTGTTGTGTTCTTTGTACCCCAGCATCCCACCTCTGCATCCATGGCATCATCAGCTTATGAGCCTGCTCTGCCCATATGTGCAGACACTCTACGATCCTTAGGAGAAAGGGCATGGACTCTCGGTAACTTGGGTTTCCTCTTAGCAGAGGCCTAAGAGATTAGGAAGTCAGTGGATCAGTGAGACTTGTCTATGAGTATCAGCCCTGCCCGCCCTCAAATAATAGTCTTTTCCATCAGTGACCTGTATTCAGCATTTGTCATCTCTAGAAAAGGCTGTCTCTTTCTCCCAGGTGTGTCTACTCCCAGCTGGGCACCTGTGACCCAGGCGATACTGGTTTGGCCAACTTAGGTACAGGCACAATTTGAAGTGTGTGTACCAATGTGTGTCAGCATCAGTAAGACTTAAAGTGGCCTCACAGCCACCTGGGTCATCATGACAGCACTCTGGCTGCAAGGGAGGCCGCAAATGTGCGCATGTAGTGTTTCAAGCCCCTATGTGAACTGACAGTCTTTTCTAAAGCTGTCCCAGGAGACTCAGGAGGTCGGATATGAAAGCAGCCGGCATGTGTTGGCAGTTCCTGAGCCTGGGAGAGGAGTGTGTACAATCCTTACGTTTTTCAAAACTTGGATATGGATTTCAATTTTTCATAATAAAACATTTTCTAAAGTTGTCCAAGAAACACAGAATTGTGTTCTGTGTAAGGAAGGATTTTGAAGTGCTTCAGGCTGAGGCAGAAGAGGGCGAGCAGCCTCCCCCCACACAGGCATCTCTCAGGCCTGCAGGAGTACAGGAAAGGGGCTGCCTGTTGGTCCTCTCTGTTTTAACAGCTCAGAAACCACACTCTGCCAGAGTGGGGGACAGAGAAACTGCCAGCAAGGCACACTGCCTAACATAGATGTGGCTATTCTCTAAACAAGTGCCATCTCATAAGGGTAAACCAGACAGAGGAGCCAGGAGTCTTTTTCGGCCCTGCCTGACCACACATTGGGCTGAGTGTGAAGACTGCAGAATGGAGGCAGAGAACTATATAGGTGGGCACCCCTGGGGACGCCTGAGGTAGACGTGGGCCACTGTAAGCTTTTTCTCTTGGTCAGCATGTACTTGTATGTGAGCACATCAGAGTTCTTAGTGGGAATTGCTTTCTCAACCACATTGTTAGCTGTCCTGCCTCACTTTCAAAGGACTAAGCCACTGCGGCCAATACCTGACCTTCCTCAGTGGACCCTTGGTTCAGACCCCAGAACCTCTCTCCTGACCAAAAACAAAAAAAAACAAAAAATCCTCTTTTCTGACAGTTTGTTTGAACAATGGTTCCCATAGGAGGTGGTGCCTTTATTCAGGAATTAGGAAGTGTTAAGGAAGAGTTTGTGGGGATGTGGAAAGAATGAGTTGGTGTTTGGATGGTTTGGCACTCTCTGTGGCTCTAGTGGTCCAGTGCTCTGCTGTGCCCACACCATTGGCTATAGAAGTCTAAGAGCACTCACTGTTTGGCTGCTCCTGTGGAGCAGAGGCTCTGAGGAGCTGAGTTCTCCGACCCTGCCCTGGCCTGTCAGTCCTTTGTCTTCTTTATGTCCCCTACGGGTGTGTCAGAATTCCAAAGTGTCTGGTATCCTTTAATGGGAGGTGGGGGCGGGGACAGAGTGCCCCAAAGTAGTTTGAGGTCAAGTAATAAAACAAGCCTTTTTCTGTACTCTGCTCACCTATTTCTTGGGGAACTCAGTGCTCTAGTTAAGAATTGTGCATCAGGCCTCTAGGGCCTTACAGGGACACATTAAGAAGTAACCTTGAGTGTGGTATGCACAGCTAAGGCGGAAGAAAGACTCTGAGGCCCTAGCCAGCACTTGGCCAGGTCTGTCTAGCATGAGAGCTGTGCCATGCGGCCAATGAGCCAAGTGGCCAGCACCACAGGAGGACCAGGACATCTTTGGAGAGAAGTGGAGCCAGGGTGCTTCTGGACACAGTCAGGACTGGGAAGACAACATGACAGACTCTCCAGATACTGTGCTATCTTGTAGTTCGTGTGGCACACTGAATGTGTGTACCTTGATTGCTGTGGTCTGGAAAGGCGGGACACAGTAGTAGAAGGCTCTAGCACACTCCGGAGAATATGATAGTCTGCTTTGTGGTACAAGTCCCTCACGAGAATTAGAAGTGCTTAGGTGTGCTGATGAGACAGAGCTGATAGTCTGCAGCACACAGAGCTGGACAGACAAGTGATTTGAATATGATGGGCCAGCAGACCAGAAGGACCAGTGTTGTCAACAGATCATTGATGGTGCCTCACTATACCATCTCAGTCACCTGCTTCAACACACATGCACACACGTATTTGCACATAACCTCTTAGCACTGCCCCATTTTCCACAGGAGGAAATTTGCCTGAAGTCAACTGACCAGGGCGTATACACATCCTCTGGTTTCCCAGCACACTGAATAGCCTCTCGGTGCTGTTTGGCTCCTTCAGTCATGTTGTGAGTGCTGGGGAATTTCTCCTGGGAAAGGAAGAGTGTCAGAGGACCGAGGAAGCCCGGACACAGCCACCGGGCCAGCATCTGAGGCCCTGCTGAGGAGGTGTGTTGCTGAGATTCCTCAGTCTTTTGCTTGTATGAACTGTGGTAGCCAGGTTTGCTCCCATCTGAGCTCTACTTTGCTAGGGGTAGGGGGTGTTCCTTCACTTGTAGATGCTGCCTGGCTCTGGGGAGTTGGGAGGATGAGACTGAGAAGCTATACACACAAGCAGGTTTAGGGCTGACTGGGGATGCTGTGGAGACTGGGCCAGGCAAAGTGCCCCTTGTTAGAACAGCTGGGTTAGAACTTGTGCTAGTTGGTGGTGTGAAGCCTGCCTGCCAACTTGGCCTCCCCTTGCTGACAGCCCTGACAGATGTACAGAGATGGGTCATGAACAGTCCATATGTTAGAAAGCTGCTGTAGCAGGCCCTGGCTTGTTAGATGTGAAATAAATGGTCCCTGACCTAGATAAATGAATTTCAGATTTGCAGACGCCAACATGAATCACAGTCTGCCCAGTTGTTCTAGCAGAAGTTATGTATGGAATGGTCTATATTCAAACCCTACCAGGTATAAGCTGCCCCGAGGCCCCTAGGCCACCAGTATGACCTGAGGCTTCTGTGGGTGCCCTCTCTCAGTGAGAGGTATGGCTGAACTGACTGACTGGACAGGAATGTCACTGTCCTTTGTCCCAGTCCTCTGTAGGAGGTCAAGAAGCTGTCCCTTACCAGTGCCCCCCCCCCCCTCCACGGAACACATCTGCCCTATGAAACTTGACCGACCAACGGAAGACACTTTCTCTTCTTTTCTTCTTTCGTTTGTTTGGGTTTTATTTTGTTTTGTTTAAGACAAGGTCTCCTGGCTGGGCAGTGGTGGTACACGCCTTTAATCCTACCACTTGGGAGGCAAAGGCAGGCAGATTTCTGAGTTCGAGGCCAGCCTGGACTACAAAGTGAGTTCCAGGACAGCCAGGGCTATACAGAGAAACCCTGTCTCGGGGAAAAACAAAAACAAAAACAAAACAGAATCTCCTGTAGCCTAGGCCTGCCTTGAACTTGGTATGTAGCTGAGGGTGACTTTGAACTTGTGATTCCCTACCTCCACCTCCCATGTGCTAGAATTATAATTATGTGCCACCATGCCCAGTTTATGTGGGGCATGCTCTTCCAACCTAGGGCTGCATGCATGCTAGGCTAGCACTCTACCAGCTTAGCTATGGCTCCTGTGTTTGCTTTTTGAAGTACAGTTTCCTATAACTCCCGGCAGGCCATGAACTCTCTGTGTAGTCAAGGGTGACTTTGGACTCCTGATCCATTGGCATCCACCTACCAGATACCAGGATTACAGGTATATATCATCATACCTCATTAGAAGGCATTTTAAGATTCTAGGTGTCTGAAGCTGTTATCTCAGACTACCCCTTTTACTGCAGTTAAAAGGTCTCTTATGGCCCTGCTACTTAACATCATATGGAATTTCTGACTGAGATTCAAGCAAG